CACTTGGTAGCCCAGGCTGGCCTCGAACTCACAGAGATCTGCCTGCCTCTGCCTCCCGAGTGCTGGGATTAAAGGCGTGCGCCACCACCGCCTGGCGACTATGTAGTTCTTGAGTGTTTAGAATTGATTTGTGGCTGGGATATGGAAGAATTTGGAATATTTGGTTAGTAAAACCATTTAATGCTGTAGATAGAGTGTAATGGGCCACTCTGATTGGAGTTTGGAAGAAAAAATGTTAAGAGATGCATACAGTGGGGTCCTGGTTCATAAGTTTTTGAGGGGGGACAAGGACTGCGTTAGGTGTCTTTTGATTGTTTTTTTTTTTAAATCAGGAATCTGGCTGCATTCTGCCCATCTTCTGAGACCTTGAGTGCATTTAAACTAAAGGATTACAGTCTAATTTGCTTAGGGTAGTGAAAAGGTGTAGAGCAGGCACACATTCATTGTTCTGTGTTTGCTGATTATGGATATGATATAACCAGTTACTTCTAACCTATGTCCAGTTGATTTCCTTGCCATGAGGCATTGTACATTGAACTGTGAGCAAATAAAAAACAAAACAAAACAAAACCTTTCTATGTTAAGTTACTCTTATTGGGGCGTTGTATCAGAGCAACCTAAGACAGCCAGGTACTAATCCTGGCTTTGCTAGCTTTGCTTTTCTGGGTAATCTCTTTTCCTTTTTGTTTTCTCAAGGCTGCTTGCCTCATAGCAATATCATGCTCATTTGTTTGTTTTTGCCACAACATCAGAAGATAGAAAACTAGTATATGAAAAAAAGAAAAGGTCCAGAATAAAAAAAGTTTCCAGAGAGCCCCATGAGCATCTTAGATACTCAAACTATAAAATAGTAAAATTAAGATCACTGGGGAGGAACTTTCAGTTTCAAAGCTTTGTTTTTGCTTCACTTAATGTTTTTAGATGAAAGTTTGTATACAACTACCAGTTAACCCTTTCAATGGGGCCAAGACTAAGATTATAGAATTCTGAAAGTTTTTATTTGAGATCTTTATTACACTTCATTCTGAGACATTGTGATGCTTTTTAGGCATTTCCTTTTTCTTCAGCCATGCTTAAAGCTACCCTAACAATGTCTTTACAATATGTTCTTAAAAACTTCATATGTTAAAGTTAGTATTATTAAAGATAAGTATATGAATATGGAATTCTTTTTTTATAACTTTATTTTATGTGCTTCTGTGTAAAGGTGTCAGATCCCCAGGAACTGGAGTTACAGACAGTTGTAAGCTGCCATGTGGGTGCTGGGAATTGAACCCAGGTCCTCTGGAAGAATAGCCAGTGTTCTTAACTATTGAGCCATCTCCCCAGCCCTGAAGATGCAATTCTTAACCCCAAAGAAGACCACAATTCACACATTTAGTCATCATTTGGGGTGATCTTATGAGCACAATCTTTTTGGTGATCTCAAATCATTACATTTGTGTGACCCAATAAAACTCTCAAAGATGTTCTTATTATTACCATTCTTTAATTTCTAAAAGAGATAATGTGGCAAAACGGAGCTCCAATCTAATTTGGAAATATTGACCTCATATAGCCAGCCTTAAAGTCATATGTGACTCAGATATATGCATGCATACACAAAGAAAAAGGAAAAAAAAGGAAGGAGAAAGCTGATGATAGAATAAGATGGGCGTGTGCAAAGCAGGAAGCTCAGTGCATTCTTGACACATTCTCTGTCAAAGTACATGGCAAAGCCACATGACCTTTTATGTCTTTAGATGGAAACATTATCCATTGTAGACATGGGATGTAATGATATCTGGAAGCATAGTATCTTCTATAGTTTTAGCAGACTGTGATGTAGCTAGCTACCTAGTAGCTTTGTGAGTACTAGAAATGGATTTCCCTAAGAAGTAGATGCCAGAAGATTGCTGCAGAACGATGCTATGGTAAGGAATGAAATACAATGGAAAGAGAATGGGGGATCAATATATAAGTTGATACTTATTGATTTCTATAGAAACGTGATTAGGATTTTAATTACATAGCAATTGGTTTTTCAATAGTAAAATAAAATTCTAACGGTTAAGCTGGGTTTTTGCATAGCACACACTTTAAATGTTCAGAGGAGACTGAAAAAACCATGGTAATACGTGGCAAATTAAAGTCAGATACTCTGTTCCTGATTGAAGAAGTGTACAAATCATGGAAACTCTGAATTTATCAAAGCCAAAATTTGAATTTACTTTGCCCACAATATTCTCTGAGGCGAATGCTTCCCCAACAACTGAGTGATGCTGACGAACAGTTCTACCTCCCATTAGAGGTAAACGATTTTGTTTTTTTTCCTGTTTTGCTGAATAAACTACGTTACTTCCTCTTCTAGCTGTACAAGCCTGCAGTTCACTACAGGATATCTGGGTAGAAAGGGTAAGGTTCTTGGCTTTCTCTTCATACATTCAAAAATAGAACTAAAAAGCTTCTGTGAATTGAAAACGACAGTGGGAATTTCTGCTGCTTCCATTGAAAACTTAATTCTGAGTCTGCTATATCTTACCTTTGGGGGGATATATTGTTATGAAGAATGGAGACTTCAGTGAGGTAATATCTATTTATAAGTTTAAGTGGTTAAAATGTTCGCTGAAACTGCTGCATGCTTTCGGAGAGGAAATGTGGCTGTCTAGATAGAAAGCTCCTTTCTCTACAATTTAACATGCCACTGACAAAAACCAGGGGTCCAGACTTGTGTTAAACATTGCTCCTAACAATTCTATGTTAAAATTGAGATTGTGGTTCATTAAATGCGTTTTTGTTAGTGTGAGCCAAGGGGAGAAAATAAACTTACAATTTTAAACTCATGGTTTGTGTCAACCAAATTAAAGCAGCATTCAAATAGTAAATGCATCTAAGTGCCTTAATCTTTTCATAAGATGAGACTTGACATGTTTTCTCGAATTGGGACATTTTCCATGCATGCATTTTCCGGTGGGATGTGATGGCTTCAAATAGCACAAAAGGATTTTCATCAAGCCCTAGAAGCTAGCACAGCTGTCGAGTCTCAATGGGGCTGATTCTCAGCTTACGATGAACATTTCTTTGGATGTATTTTTAATTTGAGAACATGGGAAGCATTTTCAGAAGGCGTTCCAAGCATTTTGCTGTCCTTTTTAGAAGGAATTCCTTCTGTGTTTTTTTTTTAACGTGTTCTTTTTAAAGTCTGCTAATTTCACACGTGGAATTTGATTCTTTGATATGTAAAATTATCCACAATATGTAAGATTACATATGACTCTAGATGAGACTATAAGCTGTAGTAAAATATAAGTGAAACCTATTTATTAGGAAAATATAAATGAAACCCATTTACACCAACACCTTCCTTCTCCTGTGGTGAGCAAATCAGTGTATTTTGTACAGATTTAATTTCCCCAGAATGAAGTGTTAGAAACAGTAAATTCCCCTTTTTAAAAAAAGATCCCCAAATGAAGGTTTTTTTTTTTCTCTAAAAATTTAGGATAAATGCTTTATTGTACTACTAGTTTTTTTCCAGTAACAAAATGAAACTAACAGCTGTAGACTACATGAGCATGACTCACAGGATGGCACTATGTGTATATTATGGTTGCCAAGTGGCACCATACTGTCTGCTATTGAGAGAGCTCTGCCTAATCTCTCTAACCACAAGTATGGGTGGGGCTTTTTTCCTATAGCAAAGTTGTTCCAAAGTGACTGATACTTGGGCCAGTATGTGAAATCCAGGCAGGCTAAGCAGCTGCACTGCTCTGGGAACCTCCAGAAGGGCTGAAATCAGCGGCACTCCATGGACAGACCCTCCTTAGAAACTGTTTTGGTGGGATTATGACAAAAGATGTCCTCAGTAGACTTAAAAAGTTCTGGGTGGAGTTTTCTCTCCAGTCAGTTTCCCCTTCTCCCATTCCACCCAGGAAGTTTAATGGGAAGAAAGATCAGTTATTCAAGCAGCTTCTGAAACTAGATGAGGGAAGAAGGAAATTAATCATCTCTGTGTCCCCAGCAGCACAGTTTAACACAAAGTTGGAGCTTAGTAGGGACTAGACGCTTGCTGAATTGTAGAACCCTAGGGGAAGGGAGAGGTTTCTGTTGGCTGACTCTGTGCTGATGTCTTACTTTTTGCAACTGTGAATGTGTGTGTCCTAGAAGGCTGAGAAAGAAATTATTCACTAGAGCATGAGACATTTTCCACTTGGTCAAACTTATTTGCTCAAGATTGGAAAAATAATACTTGTCTGAAAGTTCTAGTGGTATAAAATTATAATATACCATTAGAGTTAGACTTACAAATTGGCAACTGCCTAGATACAGTATTCTGGGGCTGGGAAAGAAAAAGCAAGACTCTTACTGGGTGTCCAGCAAGTGTTTCTGTCTGCCTCTAACCAGAAATGTTATTATGAATAATCTAATCTAGAGATTATTTACGGTCTCTCAAAGTTCTCCTTTCTTGTGAAACACAAGTGATGCTAATCATGGTAAAAGGTTAAGCTAGTGAAAAATTAGCTAATGAGTTTATAGGCTGAATTTTTCAGTCAGCTGGTAGGTTTTCACAAACCAGGAAGTCCAACACTTGGAAATGTACTAAGTAATTGAAAAGGAGGTAAGGGAGACAAAGGGTTGGGGGAGAGTTTACAGCACAGTATAAAGAGAAGTTTTCTGGCTCTGTACATCCTGCCTACTTACTAACCAAGAGTGTTAATACATATGCACCATACCTAGATAATCTTTGAACATAGCTATGAAAGGGAACACTGTCAATACTTGAGTAAAATTTTCTTTTCTGGGTTTGGAAATTTTAATTTTTAATTTTCCATCTTCAACTTTATTGCAGATATGTGGCATACTTTACTTTGGTAATTTTTTTAAAAGATTTATTTATTTATGTATACAGAAGAGGGTGCCAAATCTCATTACAGATGGTTGTGAGCCACCATGTGGTTGCTGGGAACTGAACTCAGGACCTCTGGAAGAGCAGTTGGTGCTCTTAACCTCTGAGCCATCTCTCCAGCCCCCTTACTTTGGTTATTTCCTTATCTTTTCAATCATTTATTTTCCTCATAAACTTGTTTTTAATCAGCAAATACCAGTGTATGTTTATGAGCTACAGCATGATCTTTTGATCACAGATTATCTTTCTGAAGTAAAAATGTTAAAGATGTGTTCTTCCAGAAATTTTGTCGTATACATTTGTTATTTACTATTATTGTCCCATAATGAAGTTCATTACTATAACATTCCTTCTTGTTTAGCTTTAAACTTTTTTTTGTATTGTAAGACAGGGTTTCTCTGTGTAGCCCTGGTTGTCTTGGAACTTGCTCTGTAGACTAGGCTGGCCTCAAACTCTGAGATCTGTCTGCCTCTGCCTCCCGAGTGCTGGGATTAAAGGTATGCATAATCATGCCTGGCTAACCTTGTATACTTTAATTACTATTTTCCCTTTCTCTATCCTCTCCCTAGTCTCTGGCAGCCATTTTTCTATCTTCTGTGTCCATAAATCAATATTTTAAATTTCACATATAAGATTATATAGCATTTTCTTAACTTGGTGTATTTCACTTAGCATATTGTTTTTCAGGTATACCCATTTTGTTACATGTAGCATACTTTTCAATGCCATGCAGTATTTCCTTGTGTATATATGCCACATTTTTTTTATTCATCTATTTATAGATGTCCTGCTTTCATATCTTGACTATTTGTAAATAATCATGAATTAGCATAAAAGTGTTGATATCTTTTTGCAACATATTGATCTAAGTTATTTGCATATATACTCAAGATTACAATTACTGGGTCATATACTTCTACTTAGAGCTTTGTGAGGAAACTGAATTCTGTTTTCAAAAGTGACTGTAGTGATTTACATTCCTACCAGCAGTGTGCACAAGTTCTTTTTCTGGATGGCTTCTGTGTGCTGGCTTTGGCCTGAAGGGATGCTGAGGCATTTCTGTGGGCAGGTCAGAGAATCCAGGGTTGGGCTTGACTTAATGTAAAACGTCCAGAATTTCTCACTTGAGAGCTGGGTCTGATGGAAGACTCAGTTCAATGGCTGCCAAATTACCCGATTGTTTTTCTGAGATGCTTCTGAAGTTTCTGCAAGCTAATCAGAAAATCATTTCTTAATTTTGGATCACACTCTTCACACTCAACAGCTTGGGTGGAGATGCAAAGATTTGCTCCAAATACATTAGATAGGAAACATCTGAGATAAACCCTCTTTTACTAGTTTCCAGCCAGTTGACCTTAATGGATCTCAGCAAGAAATGTATAAGAAAGCCTTTTTATTTGTAAATATATTTTTGTTTTACAAGAAATTGAGAAAATAGTACAGATTCCTTTTGTATACTTCAGCAAACTTTCCCCAATGATAAGATGTTAAGAAACGATCCTACATTATCAAAATCAGGCAGTTGAAAGTGATATAATACAATGAACTAGACTGCAAAACTTATTTATATTTTATCAGTTTTGGCAAGCATTCATGTGTGTATTTTATCATATACATACATTTTCTCAAACAACATCACAATCAATTGGGAAATCCTTTATCATCACATAAGTCCTCTTGTGCTATACCATTACATCAGAACCCACCCTAGTCTATAGCACTTTGATAACTTTTCATTTGCTTTCCACATCTATGTTTTGTTTTGAGTACACTATACAAATAGAATGAAGTAATATATAATCTTTATAGATGGGCCATTTTCACTTAGCATATTTCTTTGAAACCTATATAGTTTGTTCCCTGTACCACTAGTTGGTTCATTTTTATTGTTAGTCATGATACCAGCATAGGGATATAATAAACCTTGTTTATCAATAGATATCTATCAATATCTATCCACTAAAGTGTTTAAGTTGCTTCCATTCTGTTTTGGGGGAGAATATTACATCTAAATGGCAGTGAGCATCTGTTTACAAGTTTCTTATGGATATGGTTTTATTTTTCTTTGGCATCTACCTAGAGATAGAATTTCTAGGCTTTATAGTATGTGTGTTGTTAGTTTGCTAAAATCTGTCAAACATCTTGGCAGAGCAGTTGTACATTTCCTAAGAGAATTAATGTATGAGAGACTCACTTGTTCTGATTCTTTTTTAGCATTCGCTGTGGCAAATAGTTTTTGTTCTATACATCCTATTAAGTATAATATTGTAACTCATTGTAGTTTTAGTTGTCTTTCCCTAATGGTGGCAATCTCCCCACCTCCCACCCCCCCATGTGTAAATGTATGTATGTTTCACAGCTCCATTTTGGAAGAATGCCTGTTCATCTTCTTTCTCTATTTCTAGTTACATTGATTTCTTATTGTTTGTTTTAAGAGTTTTCCTTAATGTGTACATCAAATAAAAATCTCTTAGATTTGAAACACTGAAGCATTTTCTTCAAACTTGTGCCTTGCCTTCTTAATCTACTCTTTTTTTGTTTTGTTTTTGTTTTGTTTTGTTTTTTCGAGACAGGGTTTCTCTGTGCAGTTTTGCGCCTTTCCTGGAACTCACTTGGTAGACCAGGCTGGCCTCGAACTCACAGAGATCCGCCTGCCTCTGCCTCCTGAGTGCTGGGACTAAAG